TTAATGATTTTGATTGGTGTTTCAATGGGTTGCAGGTGAGATGGACGGCAGACGGGTTGAAGACGTGTAGTTTCTTCTAATTTGGTTTGGATCTGAGATGTAATCAAAGGTAGAACTCACTTCTTTATCTTTTTTCTTCTTTTAATTTTTCTGTTTCTTCCTCTCTGCATCGATGTTTCTCTTTCTTTTTTTTTTGTTTCTTCCTCTGTATCGATGTCTTTCTTTCTTTTACATTAGATCATATTCAATTCAAACATCACTCACCACCACCAGACTACCACTCACCGCAATGACACCGCCTTTTACCATCACAATCCACCGTACGAACGTAGTTCAACACCACTACACATGCTTTTCCCTCCCTCATCGGTCCCCCCTATGCGTAAAAACCATCAATATTGATGGAGAACTTACATAGAAATTGACCTACATCCCTGATTTTGAATCAGGTTCAATAAATCATACATAGAAAAACTCCCAAGGTAATGGCCATTTAGTGCGAATTGTTGTTCTATTATTTTCTTTATCAAGTTTGTGTGTGCATATTTTTCTGATTTTTTGGTATTTTCTGGATCTATGGTTTCACTTTTTGGCAATATTGAGTTCCCGGGTATTATTCCAATGAATTAGAGCGAACAGTGTGGATGAAAGGTTGTGAAGGCCTGCATCTCAAATCATCTAACAAATACTAAGGTAATAACCAATTTATACTTTTTTTTGTTTCTATTGCATCAAACCTCTCTCATTCTCTTACTCTCAATAGGTCGGACTAAGACAAGTTTTTTAAATGACCGGTTAATAACCCTTATAGGGCTATTAGCTTTACATGCTCAACTGATCATTGTCCATTTATAGGGCTTTGCAGAATATTGAAGTTTTGGAAGCGTAATGCAACAAAAAGAATCATGCTCTTATAGCTTATCAAAGCAGGCTTCACCCTGACACATTGACACTCAATACTACATAGCATTGGGCATAAATGTGTTTCATAGCTAAGCTTCACATATTTTAAGAAAACAATTTATAATGATTTTTTGAATACTCTAATGCGTGCTTCCTTTATGCGTTATTCCTTTAACATCAGTGATGACAACTTCTGCTTACTACATTACGGTATTACTGCTTACTACATTACGATATTACAGGATACAAAGTTGAAAAGCTTATTCTAATAGTTAAAAAATTGCATTTGCCTTGATCAATGCAAAAGCTTTCATAATTATTGCTTTTATCTTTGAAGTAATGTTAATATCCCCCTCTTTGATGTTATAAACACCACCTAAAAGCTTTCATTTATGAAGTTGTTTGTATCACTTTTGAATCCTCTTGATTATATTTATTTGTGGTTGACTTTTTTAATTCAATAAAGTTCATTGTAAATGTCAAGTTTTATATGGAAATTGTAAGCCCCGAATTAAAGAAAATTGCTTTCAAGTAAAAATAAATGAAAATTGTTCTCATGGCATGGTTTTTAGTGATTGATGTTGAGGTAGCAATCGAAGCACTAAAAGCCTTTGCTTATATTTTTAGCATTTAAAAAACCAAAAGGCATCTCGGTGTCAGTAGATCTTTTGATCTCATAAAATTAATTGTCATTATGTTCTTAATGCTCTTAGATAAGAGTTCTCTTATTAAAACTATGTGCTACTTCAACCTATAGGTTGCTCTCTAAATATTTGGAGAAGTGACTTATGGTTCTTGGAATAACTTATTTGCAATTTATTTTTTGATTTGGCTTTTATTTTATCAGAAAAATAAATTATTCATAGATGGAAAGCAGGGTCTTTGCTATCACTATAGTCTTTTACAAGTGAGTGTATTTAAATAGGAGTAATTCAGCTTCTTTTATCGTCATAAAAGAGAAAAAACATTTCAAATGGGAAACATATACGAATGATATGTAGGCACCATAGAAGCGGGAGTTATATGAATTACGAGTGGTAGTTTTATCGTCTACAACTGCCACTGCTAACAATACATTTTTTGTTATGGAATCATGGAGATTATGGGATTTTTTTTATTTCTAAAAGATCATTTTAGTGTTGGGTTGATAATAACTGAAAATGAACCTAAATGCAAAACATAAATGCAAAACATATCGGATGGTTGCCGAGATATGTGTTTAAGTGTAGCTATTTGTTATCACAAATGAAATGAAGTGGATTTAATATGTTGCAGTAGATTCAAGTAATACCATATCATCCTTTTTTTAGAATACAATGATGTACCCTTAACTTGCCTCCTTTTTTTTGTTACATGGTATGTAATTCTTCTTTGCCGTTCCAGATATTTAATTGCTTTTAAATTTTAGTTTATTGTGAAAAACGTATTAACCTGACATTTAATATTAAAGAATTAATGTATAAATAAAGAAAAATATATTATTAAAAATAATGTTTGGATAAAAAAACATTTAAAAACATGTTATTCAGAAAAATGTTTAAGAATTTTATTTATTTTAATTTGATTTGGGTTAATATGAAATGCAACATTAAATATAAGGATTTATCTACATATAGAAACAAAATATAAGAGTTTTTCTGAGTTAGATAGTTATATATATATATATATATATATATATATATATATATATATATATATATATATATATATATATAATTATATATATATATATGCAAAATGCTATTTTTACCGATATATAAAATCCACTTTAACCTTTTCGTATGTATAATAAGAATTTACTTTTGTTTTAAGCGGTAATAACAAAATACTAATATTTTTGTGTTACATAATTTAGCAACCTACATTTCATTTTTACCGAAAAAGGTAGAAGTACTTATACATGTTTTGTTATCATTTATATTACACTAACTTCATTTCTTTTTAATATAACATTGTTCTTTAAAAATACCTATCTAATTATAGCAATGCCAACAAAGTACAAAACATTTTGCACATCCTAATTAGGTGAAATATTCAAACATAAGATCCTTTTTCATTTTTCATTTTGATTAATAGATTTTAAACACACATCCAAATAAAATTAAAATACTAAATTATATATACACCGTAGATATTTTAACTGTCCCCCCCCCCCCCCCTCTTAGAACTTTACAATAATGTCACAATTCAGGATAAGCACAACATGTCATAACAGTGTGTCCAACCTTTGTAAGATGCAATCAAATTCTTATACATTGAATGTTCTTTGGAAGATGACATGTTTCAGTATAGAAACTAATCGGTAAAACGAATATAATCGCCTATTTGGCGAAAGGAAACTATTTCTGCCGCAAAACTAACAACAATAATTATATGTTTTGTGTCCTTGAAATATAACA